CTCTCAAAATTTATTTTTCCTTGAAGGGGACACATTATATAGAGTTACAACTCGAAGGCGATTTGTTCCATTTCAATCAAATTTGGAGGGTCACTAGATTAATGTATCTTTAATGTAAATGTGTTGGGGAATATGACAATATTCTAAAAATGTTTTTGTTGAGTGCGAAAGTGCTGAAGCGTAAAATAAACAATGCACATTAGTTGTAACTAGTTTATGTAAGTTATCACTGATATTTGTGAATATTTTACTTCATATCGAGACTAACCTTATACAGATGCATCTTTAGTCTTTTTATTCAGTGGTCTTAGTTAATTAACCCTTTCACTCCCAGGAGTGCTATAATTAACTGAGGAAAAATATTGAATTTCATTTTGCAAAATTATCAACAACAAACAGTACCAAATGAAAGTACTAATCAATAGCTTTCATTTGAATGGTCACACCACTAGGGTTTCATCCACAGACTTAAAAGTTACAACCACATTTATTGACTCAAGGTTTGAGTTTGGGAGTGAAAAGGTTAACTCGAAACTGGGACTTATTCCCTTTAACAGAACAACTTTTTGTTTACTTTCCTTTCAGACATGTCGTGCAGAGCAAAAAGGGAATAACACATTTGAAGTGTGTTTTGATAACTTTGCTCCTGGTAGTGTCGTTTGCATTTGACATCACGCATGGAAACCAAAGTTAAGAATGCTCTAGGTCATTAAGGTATGCCTCACCTCAATTATCAGTGTTTTTTTTAATCAATCACAGCAAACGAAAAACAACATAATGAACCAATGAAAACTCCAAGCAAAAACGCGTGCGACCAAGTCGTTGTTGGTTTTAGTTTGCATCTGATTGGTTGAGCAGGTGGCACGAGTTTTTTAAACCAATCATAGAGCATAGTAAAGCAAAACCAAAGCAATTACGAATTACTATCGAAATTGAAAACCGAATAATTACTTAGTTTGAGAATGTAACTGTAAAACTGAGTGACTGTGTTCTCTGACTCTTAGGCAGCTTGGTGTGGACTTGTATGAGAAAAGATCTGGGAGCCAGGAGAGTTATAAGACCATTGACGAATTAGAGGCAATTATCGCCAATCTGTCGCTATCTGATCTCAACCGTGTGCTGTACAGAGCTAATCCTGAAGAACAAGATGATGGGAATGGCGGGGGAGTGTATGTTCTGCCTGACTCAGGAGCGCTAGTGTACTGTGGCTTACAAGGTCAGTATGGTTATTTTTCATACCCACTGCCACATCCCCCACGTAACCCTCTGGAGTACAATCCTTTAGAACCTAGCTATATGACTTAAGCCCCCACATAGCTTGTGAGGAAGGTCATATAGACTGTTGGGAGAACTCAATCTTTTAGAAGTTTCTATAAATAACAGAATTGTGGCACGGGTTGCTTAATGGTTAGTGCGTTAAAATGCAGATCGAGTGGTCCGGGTCATTGTTTTGTGTTCTTGGGCAAGACACTTTACTCTCACATTGCCTCTATCCACCCAGGAGTATAAATGGGTACTGGCAGATTGTTAGGGTAACCTGACAAAAATGCTGGGGGAGTAACCTGCTAGTCGCTTCATGCTACAGAAACTGGAGTTAATCGCTAGCGCTGATGAGCCACTCAGACTTTAAAGAAGCTATGTCCACGATATTTTAAAGTCATTTTTTCTGATGAACAAAATTACTTTCGAATTGAAGACAATATTACTTTCGAATTGAAGACAAAATTACTTTCGAATTGAAGGAAACCTCAGAAATAATAGTTTACTAAGGTAGAAAAACACCGTAGTAATAATAAATTGAAATGGAACAAGGATGGTTAAGATTGAGGAAGATTAAAATGGATTGCGAATGACGAACTTTAACCTAATGTTTTCTTTATTTACTGTCAAACAGGTGTGATATCTGTAATGGCCGATGTTCGTCAGTTCAATGATCTAGCGCATCCTCTGTGTAGAAATCTGCGAGATGGAAATTGGTTGATGGACTATGTTGTAGCAAGACTTCTTCCTTTTGTTGGTACAAGACAGGTCAGCCTTGTTCTATTGTCTAATTTTTGTAAATCATGTGAGAGGTGTAGTAGCTTAATGTGTTGAACTCCGGATGCAGAGGTTTGGAGTTGGAGTGCTGGCCGGGGTCCTTGTGTCCTGTGATTGGGAAAGACTCTCAGTTCCGCTCACATTATTATTATTGGGACAGCCTCGCAAAATCCTGGGAGGAACCTAGTGATGGACTTGCATCCCATCCGGGGAGAAGCAGTACACCTTGATGTCAAATATATTTAGGAAACAGAAGTTGAGCTAAACAAAATCCTGGGGGAGGGGAGGGAGAGGGAGGGGGGGGGGGGGGTAACCTGTCGTGGACTAGCATCCCATCCAGAGAAAAGCTATACTCCTTGTTACCAAATTATATTAAGGAAAACTGAAGACTGAAGTTGAGCTAAACAAAATACTGGGGGGGGGGGGGGGGGAGTAACCTGTCAAAGGACTAGCATCCCATCCAGGGAGAGGCAGTACTCCTTGTCATCAAATTATTTTAAGCAAAATGAAGTTGAGCACTACAGTTAAAATCCCGCATATAAGAACCCAGATTTTTCGAAGTCAGGCTAAACAGGTTCTTATATTTTGGGGTAGTTATTGACAGTTCAGGCTAATTAGGTTCTTAATTTAATTGTTGTCAACCAAAAAATCCACTACAAGCATGGGGTGTGGCCCTTTAAACTGCAATATCATTAATCATTATTAACAGAAATTTATATATTATAGTCCCACATTTTGACCATCATAATTCAGTTGATTCTTTCATACAAGAACCTGCTGTTTTTTTCTTTGCCAGGCTAAACAGGTTCTTATATTTTTGGGTATTTAAATGCCAAATTAGAGGCTGTAGGTTCTTAATCCACTAGGTTCTTATATGCGGGTTTTTACTGTAGCACTGGTGATCCAGTTGGAAAAATAACCATACTTATATCAATGTACATGTACATGTATACCTTGAAGCTTGGATTTAATTAGTCGTTTCTGTGTCGCTCAAGCTCCCCCCCCCCCCCCCCCCTTTTTGTATCCTGAACTCCGTAGGTCTCCAGCTCTAGGTTCTGTTTTCGTATTTCCTTGTGTTTTCCAATAGATAGCTTGTTTTATTGATTCGCTTCATTTCCTTACTTTTGTGAACTATTCACTGTAACGTCCTTCTCCTGATTTTTATCTTTATTGTTATCTTTTAAAGATTATGTACATATTATCGTGGCTTCTTGTTATGTTTCTACCTGCAGCTGGGTACATGGCTTGACAAGACGTTCAATCTGATCAAGGAATGTCCGCGATATCTGGTGCCGTGCTATTTTGACGCCATTATCACTCCCCTTTATCTCAAGTTGTTGGATCGTGCTTGGAGTCAGATGTCGAGGTTTGTTGTAATGGTAATGGTATTTATATAGCGCATTTTCTATAATATTCAAATGCGCTTTACAATTCAACTCAGGGGTGAGATCGGACTGTCAGCTTGTAAAGGCGCCTGTGGCAGCCGCTATCAGTCCATTCATGATCTCACCCACCCACCCAAGCTATTGAGCAGTACTTTCATGTGGAATATTGTTTATTATAAACACCGGTGGTTACGTTCCCCTAACTCTTTTTTGTGGATGAAACCCTAGTGTGTAATCAATCAACTAAAGCCTGGGGGAGACTCCCATATAAAAGTGACTGTATGCTGTACAAGGTGGTTCTGCGTGTAACTTTTAAGTCTGTGGATGAAACCCTAGTGTGTAACCAATCAAATAAAAGCTATTGAGCAGTACATTCATGTGGTACTGTTTATTATACTGTACAAGGTGGTTCTTACTTTTAAGTCTGTGGATGAAATCCTAGTGTGTAACCAATCAAATAAAAGCTATTGAGCAGTACATTCATGTGGTACTGTTTATTATACTGTACAAGGTGGTTCTAACTTTTAAGTCTGTGGATGAAACCCTAGTGTGTGACCATTCAAATGAAAGCTATTGAGCAGTACTTTCATGCGGAGTTGCTCTTTTTTCGAATGTACATTAAGGTTTGGCATTAATAATTATTTTACTAAGAATGTTCACTTTGGGTCATACCCTCTTGGGGGTGAAGGGTTCAATTTATGCGGTTCTAACTTTTGACATCTGTTGATGAAACCTTAGTAGGTTCTCTGTTCAAGTCAAAATTGTTCCTTCAAGTAGCAGATGAGGGAGCACTTGGATCTAAATCAATAATTTCGGTGGTTATTAACATTTAACATACGAAATACTCTTTTCCAGTTTTGTAAGGAATGGTTCATCGTTTCTCAAGGCTCTCTCTCTTGGCTCGCTCCAGTTCGTTGGTTTGTCACGGTTCAGCCTCTCTTCCAGCTCTGTCGCCCAAACTGCACCATGGGCCATCATCTGGAGCAGATATTAGCCAACTCTGACGTCACTTGCAGCAGGCTTGCCTCATTTCTCTACTGGCTTCATGCGCTGTTGGGGAAGAGACACCTTCATCTCTCTCAGAGGATTATTACTTGTAACTGGCCAGATACCAGGAGGCCAGGTGTGTTAGTTGTCTTGTCACTACGCCTTTCATAACACTCGACCTATGAAGTTCAAAAAATAAATAGTAAAAATAAATAAACAACTTTATTATAGCATAGCATTTTAGAGTGCGAATACGCACAAAGACGAGAGCAGATTCTTAGTCCCCTGACCTCGCGCTACGGAAAACCTGTTGAAATTTAGGAAAGATATTATGTTTGTATAATAAACAATTTATTCAGCGGAAAGTTGAATACGGCTGGCCAATACTCGTCAGTGTTTAATTCTCGCCTAAAGGCTCGAAAAAATAAAACTGACCGTAAAAATACCCAGCGTACACAACTTTCCGCTGAATAACCTCTATTTATTAAGTATCAGTAGATTTAGCACTGCTGTGCATGAATTACCTGGATTTTGATTTTATCTTCTTTTTGTTTATGTATTTTTGCATTGTACTGTATTGTGCTAAGATACTGGCAGGGTCGGGATTTCGAACCAGGGACCTCCAGAATTCAAATCCAGCGCCTTAAAAACACTCGGCCACGACGCCTCCCAAAACCCAATAACGATTGCGTTTTTCACTGTCGTCGATCATAATTACGACTGACGACAACCACAGAGACTGGAAAAAAGAAACAAACAAAAGGATCGCCATCCACCCATCACAGTTCACGGACGTGACCTTCCGTTGAAGTGAACTTCTGTTTTTGAGATGTCTGCTAAGATGACAGCCGCCAGTTCGCATGTTAATGCAAGAAGCCGTAAGCACAATGTAGCTGTTGCAAAAAGATGGAGAGATGCTTTTAGATACAAAGGGAAAACACAGGTTAAATATAATAGCAAATTCAAATAGTAACATTGCAAAGTGTTGCTGTTCAGTTAATGATCAATTGTTGTTCGTCCGTCTTATATACTAGTTTATTAGCGACTGTTGCTTGTTCCATTGCATTGCTAATACAATAATTGTTACTTTTATTCTTCATTCATTGATTTTTGTAGACATCATATCGTGGCTTATGCTGCATGTGTCCGCCATGGCCTGGTACCGAATCTGTTGGATGGTGGTCGTAAGCCCCGGTTTAAACTGCAGGGACGCATCCTGGTGGTGGCTGCAGTGTATTCAGGATTATTGCTCCATTGTCCCGGATGGACTAAAGATCCTGTCGGATCCAGTCTCCAGGATCTTTCCCTCGGACTGCTCTCATCCGCAATCACCAGGAAAAGCTGTAATTTAAATCACCTTTTTATGACCATTTATTGCTTTTTGTTACATAATGAAACGCTGTTCTAACCAAAATGTGTGTTGTCAAACAATTTGTTCTTCATATTGCGTTCAGTGTTACTTTCCAGCTAACTTTGTCGTTCGTCATCCTTCTCAATCTTTCCAAATCTTAACCATCCTTGTTTCTTTATTGTTTGTTAAAGTCGAAGCTCTCTGAGCGGACACTCTCGTAAGCAGATAGCTCTACTTACGGCCGCCCCGTTTGAACTCTAGCTCATGCAAACTCTGTATTTACACATTGCCGTAAGCGGTCAGCTCCAGTTGTGGACACTTTTCTGCTTCCAGAGGGTGTCCGCTTACGGGAGCTTTGACTGTATAACCTCTTTGGTGCTTTTCTACCTTGGTAAACTATTAGTTCGAGGTTTCCCTCAATTTGACGGTAATTTTGTACATTTAAAATATAACTTCAAATATCGTGACAGGGACTTTGTAACCCGGAAGTAGTTGTTGACTTCCTTCTTTGTTCCAGGATCAACCGTTGTATGACGTCTTACAGGAAGTGATGCAACGTCATTTCATTGGCATCAGTTTCCGTGAGCTGGGAGCTGGGCCCGATCTAGACAGTCACATGCACGGGGCTGGATTTAACGTCAATGTTGGTGTCCGGGAGAGTACTGGGTTCGTGTTTGGTGGGAGCCAGTGGAATGCTGGGACATGGATGGACAAAGTTGGCGAATCACATACGGCGGGAAACTTTGGTTTGCCTGCCACACCAAGGTACACATAATGCACTTATTGTTTATTAGAAAGGTTTAGATATTATAGAGTTGGAAAAGAGGGAGCCGCGGTGGCTTAATGGTCAGCGGTTGGACTCCGGATCGTGCAGTCCAGGTTGAAGCCCTGGCCGGGATCATTATGTTGTGTTTCTTGGCAAGACACTTTACTCTCACAGTGCCTCTCTCCGCCGAGGAGGTATAAAATGGTATTGGCGACAAAATGCTTAACCTGCGATGGACTAGCATCCCATCCAGGGAGTTGCGATACTCCTAGTCACTTCATGCTAAAATAGAGATTAATTTCCTTGATATTCAGTGTTCGGTATTTGCATGTTTCTTCCCTCAACAAGAGTCAATATTAATTTTTAAACTCAAGTCATTCATGCAATGAGTAAAGTAGGTTATTGATAGTTTGTTCTTAGAAATAAATTTTAGATTTCTTTCTTTGATTTTACTCGCAGCTGTAACTGTGTCCCAATTTTGACATTTGCTCTTTTTTACTGTAATAGCTTTGTTCGTTAATAACTAAAGATGCTGTGAAATGTTGCATGTCTTATATAGGGATGGTAGCGCTGTGGAGATTGTCGGTCTTTGCAAATCCACTGTACGCTGGTTTAGCCGAGTTGTGTGACAAAAGAAGTTCCCATATGCTGGCGTATCCAAGCTTCAAGATGGTATGTTTTTCTTACATTACAATTTACTTTCTTATAAAGAACTTCCTTTAAAATCATTGGAGACATACTAATGGTTAGAGCGCTGGACTCTAAATCGAGCGGTTTTGAGCCCTGGCTGGGATCATTGTGTTGTGTCTTTGGGTAAGACACTTTAAGACACTTTATTCTCACAATGCCTCTCTCCACCCAGGAATACAAATGGGTATCGGCGAATTGTCTGAGTAACCTGATAACACTACTGGGGGGGGGGGGGGGGGGGGGGGTAACCTGCGATGGACTAGCATCCCATCCAGGGGGATTAGCAATACTCAGTCCTTGCGCTTGCATTACAGTAGTTCACTCGTACTTATGCCTGAGCTAACAGAAACGCAAGTATCTTACTGTGCTTGTGTTTACGTTCACGTGTGAACATCGCTTTGCGCTTGCGTTGCACGTGTGAACAAAACCCTAATACCAAACTGATAATTCACTGAGGATTAATACATGGATATATGAAATTTCTCTTCGAGTGTTCAACTCGATATCTCACGATACTAATAACGAAGATTTTGACGATTTTTTCGAAGATTTCCTACCATTTTCGGAAGATTTCCGAAGATTTACCGAAATGTTGTCCGAAGGTCATACGAACGTTTCCGATTTTCCTCGAAGATTTCCGAAGATTACTGAAGATTGCGAGGAAGATCCGAAGATATTTCGACTTAGTATCGACATTTTGAAACATGGAAAATGTATAGCACCATTCATCATTCCACTTTTTCATAGGTTTCCCAGTGGAGTTATCGTACAAAGAGTGGGGGATGCAAATTGATCAGGCGTTTGAAGAAAACTTTTGGATTCCCCGATGACCCTAAAAGCCAAACAACAGCAACAGCAAAATGAAGAGGCCAAACTCGTCCACAGAAGAGGCATCTACAAAGACTCTGTTGGTGCAAGTCACAGATTCGCTGATTATCAGTTCAGGCCTAACTTGTGTGTGGCCATGACTGTGGTAAGTCATATATCAAACACTCGAGACAGTGTTTTCATCCGATTTCCAAACACCCGAGAAGAGAGCTGAAAATACGACGCGAAGCAGATAATTTTTTGACGAAATTCGAGGTGTTTGGAAAATCTGATGTCTCTTCGTGTTTGATATATCTTCTCAATCGAAACTACGGTAAGGAGTAAACGGAGAAATAAAAATCGGAAAACAAATCTATGCTTATTAAGACCGGGTATCCAATTATGATTTCCTTTGTTATAACTTGATCTATTATTAATGAGTTTGAGAAGGGTTCGTGACAATTACTCTTGGTACAAAGCGATTAGTTTCTAAACAAACTGTTGTGCTGCGTCGGTGGACAAGTGAAACACTTAGTTGATTATCAACATGAAGCATTGGAGCAAAAAATAGGCTCAGGCGAGGGCTAACACTCGAAACGTCACCTTTCTAAATTCACTACGGCGGTTATTATTATTAATCAACTAAGTATTATTTATTCAACAAATCGTAACACTGTCCAATATGGTCATGATGCACTCACTATCTGTTGACCGTACTCAACAGATATCCTGCGATATATGTAATTTCGTATGCGCGCGGTAAAATGTTCAAGTCAGTTCTTGAAAATAACAGTGGAAGAGTATTTTTTTTTTAGTTGTGTTAGCAATTTGTTGAATAATAAAACAATTATCCTGCTCAAATCTTTCGGAATATCGCCTGATTTTAGCCAACTCGGCCTACGGAAGCCTACGGCCTCGTCGGTTAAGTATCAGGCGATATTCCGCGCGATTTCACAGGATAATTGTTAACTCTTTGAACAGTTTTCATGTCGTAAGACTAAAACCAAAGTAATTTCAGGGAGGCAAAGAGTGTGTTAGCCAATCAGAACTCGAAACAAAATTGTGCGATGCTGGCAAGTTGATGGTGGCGACTCAAAACAAAATGTCACATTAGTTTGATTGTCACGTGGTTCCTATGTATTGCAGGCTCCAGAGATGTTTGATACAGAGCATGCGTGGAAGTGTCTTGACTTGGTTGGAGAAAGTTTCTTGTTGGTCCTCTTGGCGTGGCCACACTGGATCCCAGGTAACGCGGACTAACTGGAAATGTATGTCCTGGAATGTTACTAAATTATTAATCAGTATTATCTACTTCTATAGTCTTCAGTTTCAATTCAGTCCCAGTACTTAAGTAAGAGTTCCTGGCTCGTCACGCAATCTTTGGGGTGGAAAGATTACGTGTGACAAGCTAAAAGAATGTCACGGAGAGAGGGAATTAAGTCAGGCTAAAGTATGTTTCTTTAAAGCAATTTCGCCTATGTTTATGGTGAATACTGTTTAAGGGTTTTTTTCTCGATTCATTGGTTTTGATTCTTTTGAGCGGTTTTCAAATGGGTAATGAAAGTAATCCAGTGTTTTTCTTGGTTTTGCTTTACCTCACTCTGTAATTGGTTTAAACAAACTCGCGCCACCTTCTCAGCCAATCAAATGCAAAACTAAAACCTATCTCTACTTGATCACACGCGTTTTCCCCGCGCTTGGCGCCGTTGCGTGTATTTGCTTCGAGTTCCCATTGGTTCATTTGTGTTTAATATTTCGTTTGTTGTGATTGGTCATTGTATTTGCTTGGTTTGATTCTACGACGCCTCGATTGTAAACTGCTCCAAACATTGCTGTTAGTAAATGTTTATTGTGCGCTTGTTTTTCAGTGACTGGGCTTATGAAGGAGTTTATGACAACTCACAAGACTCGACTTCATACAAGAGTGCAAAGGGATTCGCTTACCATCAAGGACCGGTTAGTGTTTTTATTTGTAATTTGATCAAGAATATAGTAAATGGTTTGAACTCAGGAGTATCAGTAGTTCGTGTAGTGTGAACGTACGCAATCTCGT